AGGGATCTGAATGGTGGGTGTTGTAACCTTTTTTTTTTCTTTTTTTGCAATATAATGTACATGGATCAGCAATATTTGCATATTACATACTCAAGTTTTGCTATTGCAGTACAGTACAGTAGTTGCGCTTTAATGATCCTTCAGTGTTTGTTTAGACGGCGTGTGTTAAGCTGCGTTTTTGTGCACACCGCCACACATTGAAGGTGTGAACAGGGCACATAGAAAACAACTAGGGATGCACCGATACCGAGTATTTGGGTGAGTACTCGTACTCGCCCAAATGCTCCCGATACCTAGCACAAGTACTTCCTGTACCAGGAAGCCGGGCAGCGCATCATTACACGCTGCCCGGTTTCCCGATTGGCCAGGAAACGGCTCCATGCTCTCTCGTCACTTGTGATGAGAGAGCATGGAGCCGACTTCCTGGCCAATCAGGAAGCCGGGTAGCGTGCACTGTAGCACTGCCCAGCTTCCCGATTGGTCAGGAAGCTAGCAAATCCGGAAGCCGGGCGCCGTGTAATGACGCAGCGCCCGGCATTCTGATTGGCCGGGAATCAAAAAAAATGTGACATGTCCCTTTAAGAAAAAGTATCGGTAATTGGTATCTGCGAGTACTTGATCAAAAGTATCGGTACTCGTACTTAAAAAAGTGGTATCGGTGCATCGGTGGCTGATTTTGCTACAGTCCTTGTAGTAGCCTATCTGCTCTGCCTCTAGTGGTCAATCTACATTTTTTTTTTCAAATTCTTTATTTATCGGCAACAAGGGTGGGGTACATTGCAATGAAGCACACTCGAAGGCCACATGGCCCTTCAAAATGTTAAAACAACAGACATTGAAACTTATAAAGCAAACATGGCGACATATTGCAAGATCAGGTCTGGTAGCCAGATTTGTCCCCGCCCTTAAGGCATTTTTTAGGTGAATCAACATAGAACCGACACTAAGGTCGAGGTGAGTGGACAGGCCCAGCGGTCAATCTACATTTAGTACAATAAGATATGAAATACTCCTTTCGTAAACTTGAAAAGTCATGCATCCGATGAAACTGGCTAGTAATGCTGATGACCTAAATGATCTTTCATGACTCACATGAACAGAATATGGCCCAATCTCCTGTCTTGTGCAACTGCATCTTAGTACTTCTATTACTCAAAATTGGAAAGATCCAGAAGCCAAGTAACATCATAAATACCTTCTTTGCATAATCTGTCATTTTCTTAGGAGTGTTGAAAAATAATATTCTTATTGCCTCGTTGAACAGGATCTTCTCATAGGCCTTCTCAATGCAACCTGCAATCTCATCCCTGAAACATGAACACAGTCATATCACCGTACGAAAGTAAAGCTGGACTCAAGTAACAAAGTCATGTAGCAGGCTTAATGAGAGAAATAAAGAGGAAGGGGCTGACTTACGGACTTCCATTGATATAGGATCACAGTGGTAAAAAGGGTATCAGAGCGTGGGGGGGTTGTTCTTTCAAGAGAACCTATCATTTTGCCCTAAATTATTATTCATTATAAAATACAGGATTTATATAGCGTCAACAATTTGCGCAGCGCTTTACAATATAAGGAAGACATTACAATCACAATACAATTCAAGACGGTAAGGAGGACCCTGCCCCTGAGGGCTTACAATCTAAATAAGCAAAGTCTTTTTTCCAGAGTCATCTTGCAGAGTCAGAAACTGAACTGCCCGGAGCATCAAAATATATGAACGGCAAATTAGTGATGCACAGAAATTTCGTCTGAAAAATGGTACTATAGGCAAAAAGCCAATAGTACAAAAACTGCCACAAAAGCTGTGCAACCGCAGCAGCTGCAAGCTTCAGTCCGTGTCCCCTCCGATCCCCACCTGTGTCAGCAGAGGCAGTGAGGAATCAGAGGTGACACAGAGATGATCAGGCTGTCAGGAGGTTGAGCAGGGCAGTGCAGTAGGAGAGCTCTGCTCCTGTGATAGGTGGAGCAGTCAGGATGGAGAACGGAGCACAAACACTCGGCGATCAGTACTGATCGCCGTTTGTAAATGACTGAGGACATAGTAAGCTTACTGTGTCCTCAGTTATGAATGAACAGGAAGTACCATACATCACTTCCTGCTCATTTATGAATGGGGACATAAATAATTACTATATGCTCGCTTTATAATTAAACAGGAAGCAGCTCAGTACAGAGGCTTCCTGCCGATTCATGACTAGGTTGATAAAGATTTACTATCTCCAGATTGTGAATGAACAGGAAGCCTCTGTTCTGAGATCTTCCTGTTCACAGAGTGCTGGGGCTGCAAAACAAGATTGAGGACTCCATCCTAAAAGGGAAATATCAGGGATCTGTTTAGACCCCTGATATTCCCCAAACATTTTAAAAAGCTTGGGGTTTGACCAGACATCTCGGTCTCAAAATTTAATATCAGTGCATCCCTACAGCAAATTGACAATACAATGGATAACCAGTGTTTCCTGTAATGAAAGTCTTAGCGTGTCCTTATGCAGATTATTTGCAGAAATTGGTCATTTTATATCATCTCTGACAAAATCCCATCCAAATTTTACAATTGTAAACAGAGTCCCGACATCTTTAGCCACCGGGAGTCTGTTTAAACGGGCCCAGGGCCAGTGACGTACTATGGACGTCACTGGTCACTAAGGGGTTAAAAGTGGGTTATTAACCTTTTTATGATTACAAACCCGGTAATGCATTGAGCCGGTAATGACCCGCCGCACAGCTTCCCAATTGGGCGGGAAACAGGTTCCAAGCTCCTGGAAGTAGCGGTATCGGCGAGTACCGAAGGATAAATAAATCGGTACTCGATACCGGAAAACAGCTATAGGTACATCCCTAGTTACAAGTCGCAATCTGCAATGTCCAGGAACAGGGAATTTCAGATACTATGCAGCTATTGAAGGCTGATGTGTACCCTCCTTGGGTTCCCCTGCTCAACCACTCATCTGCCAGAGCCAAAAGCCCTGTATATTGTATATGTCACAAGTCGGCCCAGTCACAGTTTACGAAGGGCTTAAATCCCCGCCCCCCATGTGACAGCGATCGGTCTTGGGAGGAGATTAGCTGCTCAGGTACCCAACATGACTTATGGAAGGGGGAAGTCATTTTTCTCCTACCCCAGAATTTCCCTTGACCCGGCAGGAGAATGGGATTAGGACTATCTAGTTAACCTGTTGCTTTCATCGCAATGGGCAGTACAGGTTCACTTTAGTAACAACCATTTCTGTAATTTTTTATCTTAACTTTTTACTTTTCAGGTGACAAAATTGCATTAAAAGATCAAAAACAGCCGTTTGTGTGCACAACTTGCAGCTTTTCAAAAGTCATCAATTAAAAAGGATAACCACAACTTTAAAAAAGTAGAGATTCAGAAGATGGACCTATGTACTTCCCAAGCATTTCAATTCACTTCCCGTTGATTAGCTCTGCTGAAGTCTGCTCCAAGGATCCACAACTCTTTCTGATGTTACTCTTGAACTTCTGCTAGTTTGAGATCAGGTCCCCGTGTTCTTGAACTGCGCTTCATATTGAAATGACTGCCCTTTACTAAACCTTATTCAAAATCTAAACTAAACTACAGCTTTACCTTTTTTTCCCCCCACATATACAGAAAACTTCTCTCCTGCATTGAAATGGAATACGTGCCTGCAACCAGTAAACCAATCAGCAGACTGCAAACTAAAGTCTGAAGCACCCATTGGCCAACAGGCTCATCTAAAGGGGATCCTGATGATGTAATCTTCTATATAATGCCCTTGAAAGAAGATCCAAGGCAGATAGCTGTGATGTTTACAAGGAGCCTGACTCCCTCCCCCCCCCACACCCCCACCAAACTAAGAGCAAACAGCAGCAGAGAGACCCAGTGATTGCACAACAGGTCAAATGAAGGTACTAACACTACTTGTATTGAATAAATAGAGAGCTGTATTAATTCATCTTTTAGATTTGCACGGAGCTCAGCTTTAACCCCTTCGTGACTGACGACGTACAGTGTACGTCGCCAGCATCGGGGCTGTTTAAACAGACTCCCGGTGACTTTAAGTTGCAGGAATCCTTTAAAATGATAAAGCTGGCTGTATCAAAGCCTTAACTACTGTGCTGCAATCCAGCTATCCAACTCACCTTATAGTGTCCAGCAGGATGTCAATGAAGAATGTGTAGCTCTCTGCAGGAATGTTTCCTTTGGCCAGAAACACTTTGTTATAACTTCCCTCCATCAAGTACTGAAGGACAGGAAGAAACAGGTTATCAGAGTGATGCTGCTGGATACACAATACGATCCCACAAGCAGGGATCACTGCTACAGTAAGTAATGAGAGAGATACCTGCTCTAGAGATACTGGGTGCTTTATGTACACATTGGCCTGGATATCTTTAGCAGGTAACCGTTCCAGCTCTGTGTGAAACTCGGCCACTCTATTCTGCGATAAGAGGAAGAGGAGGTTCAGTCCGAGCAGCTGGTGTTTATATGCAGATTCTGAAAGCTCCTCTCTAAAACATGAAAAACAGAATAAAAAAAAAAACAAAAAAAAAAACACACGGATCTGGTCAGTATATGACAATGGAGGATTAGATTTATTATACAACAAATGAGTCTGTAAGGATAATAAATGATAAAGCATTGACACACTGGGGATGGAGAATGTAATGTGATATTTGTTACAGACAAGAAATCTGTCAAACAACAAATATGTAGGCTGACGTTGCGGACATCCTCTTAACATTCTAATTGTCTTAACGTCATGTTGATCCTTTGGCTTCAATATCTTCCTAGAGTCCCTGACCCTAAGACGGGTATGCAGATGAGAAGTTTTGACTTAACTTTCTGCATGCTTACTTCAGGTCAATGAAAAAGTATGAAATTCAAAAGACAGACGACTGACATTCTAAAGCAAATTCCATGCACATGGAAGATCTGTTTCTCAGCAGGGGACCCTCCACCCAAAACAAATAAGCTGCAAAAACTTCAACGACTTTGCAAGAAATAGCATTAAAAAGTAGGGACGCACCAATATATCGGCCCCCAAAACATATTGGCTGAAAATTGCACTTTTGGCATAACGGCGAAAGTGCCATTTTCTGGCTGATACAGCGGTGCATCTATTCTTTCTCTCCTCCCCGCTGGGCGCTGCTCTGTGTCCCAGCGTGGAGGAGAGACACTGACACAAGTGGCCGAGGGCTGCGGTAAGAGAGCACTGTGAGCGGCCAGCGGCCCTCCGCCCCGCATCGCTCAGCCTCCTGTCACAGATCAGAGGAGAGCGGTGTGTGGGCGGAGACAGCCAGCGATGTCACAGGAGGCTGCGCTCCGCTTGCTCACAGGAAGCAGGTACAATCACTGAGTGTTTGTACATAATTGAGGACATGGTATGGTTACTATATCCTCATTTATGAATGAATGGGAAGTGATCTACATCCCCTCCTGTTCATTCATGATTGTGGTTATAGTAAACAATCTCCTCATAAATGAACAGGAACACTCAGTATGGAGGATTCCTGTTCATTGATAACAGGGGCTGAAGAAAAAGAGACTACTAAAAAGAATCAGTCCCGAAAGGCACAGGTGATGCCACCAGCCCATTTTAAATTCCACAAGAATGCAATGGGCCGCAATGCATTCTTTCGGGATTCCAAGTTCTCCTCTACCCCAGGAGGTAGCGGTGAGGCATTGTGACATCACCTGCGCTTACCAGAAGTGTTGGAAGCTGGGACCAAGGTGAGTATTTTCTCATCCTTTGTTAAGGCTTTATTTTTAAGGCGTTTTTTGTCTACTACTAATTTTGGCCGGCAGGGAAGCGGAACATCCTTTTTTCATGGAAAAAGTTTGCTTTCAGCAGTGACAGCCAATCTATTATTTTCCTATCCAATTGCTCCATCCCTCACCAGCTGACCTTATGTCCCCCAACCCAAATACATGACATTGTTGGCTCGATTGGCAAAGAAAAGCTGCCCATCAGGTTTCTTTTATCAACTACAGCGATGAATCTGGTTGATGTAGGCAAACCAATTTTAGGGGCTTGTTAGCACAATACCCTTGCGGCTGTGTTTTTCTGCACACCACTACATATGTGAACAGAGCACAATTGATTCTACGTACCCTGTTAACAGCACGCACATGCGGTAGGGTGCAGAAAAACGCAGCTTTAACAGACCTGGTGTGCACAAAATACAGAGACTGCCTCTACTGACCCCCTTTGGAAATGTTCTGGTAGTCAATCAGCCAAAGATACAGAAAGCAGAAGGGTGTAAAGGAAAAAGTTAATCTCCTCTTTTCATTGACACCACAGCATTGCAGTAACCATTTTGAATGGCATGCACTGCCATGTAACAGAAGCATTGAGGAGGGGGTGGCACCTTAGAGTGCCAGCTGTACAGTCAGTTACAAGCTTGCTGTGCCATCTCATTTTTGTCATTCCAAAAACAATATTGATGAGCGGTGACTGGAAAGCGTCAACTAATGCTTACTTGTAATCAAAGTAGTAACACTTCAGCTGTGCCATGTATCTTTCAAATGATGGGATGTCTTTCTTTAGAATACTCCACTGTGCGCCGATCTCCAAAACGTCCCCTGTAAGCAAAGGGGAGAAATGTAAGCAGGAAAACAAAGAAAACCAAAAAACATGTCTATGTTTTAAACCGGAGTGGGCAACTCCACCTCTCAAGCTGCGCTTTAATTACAAATCCCAACAAGCCTCTGCGAGTCATGTCTAAGGCTAGGTTCATAACTGCACTACACTGCACGACATCCGGGCCATGCGATCGTGTGCTAGTTCACACAGCGATTGCCGTGTGGCCCTATTGATTTCAATGGAGTGACATCCGCGCGGCAATCACTTTAAAGAAAAGGTTCAATTACCTTTTTTTGCAACACACAACTTTTTTTAGCCACTTTTGTGTTCACTTGCATGGGCGGAATTGCAGTGCGAAACTGCATGACCGGCCCGACGCGACTGGGGTGCCATAAAAAAAAAAAAAGTCACCCACAGCAAGATCGGTTCACACCTTGGCGACTCCCGACCGCGCGGCAATCATGCACACGGTCAGGAGTCGCCCAGGTGTGAACCTATCCTTACCGTCAGTCTTGCAATGCCTCACGGGACTTGTAGTTCCACAACAGCTGGACGGACAGCGTTTCCCAGCCCTGCACTAAAGGCATCACCTCAGCTGATTAGGTCAGTAATGTGACAAAATCTGAAGAGGTTCCCTGTGCAGAGAGAAACATCTACTCATACTGTCAATGGACAGGAGATGGGCAAGGTGCAAGGAATCAGTGGCTGGTATAACAGTGGTGGTCATCAATCATACATCAGCAGCCATCCAGAAACTACTGATCAACTGCTGGTTATTACCACAGGACCACAGTGGTCTAGTGAATGAAGAAGGGAGGAGTGGTGACCAGAGGAATGGTTTGCTTTTCCTTTTTGCCTGAGCACTGGCCCTGATATCCTGTTTTAGGGCGACTCCTTCAGCTTGCCTGTGGAGCAACACTTGTGTGCGCTAGTAAGCGGTGTGTGTTTCCACAAAGACACAGCAAGGCAAGCCATTTTCCCTGCTACTCACTTCTCCCTCCTCCGAGCTAGTAGATGGACAGTTGCTGGAAACGGTTCTGTCCCTTGTGATCTTGTACTGGACAGGAAGTTTAGGGAAGCTTAGCCGAGAGAGTTGGAGCCGTTTGGAAACATGACAATTAAGAGCTTGGACAAAATATAAAGAAACACTTTGCTGAGCAATGCATATTTATTTGAGCTGGATTTATTACGGATAGAAACTAATACTACTTTAAGGATAAGTGTACTTACTAGCCAGGATAAGCTGCTGTTTGGTCAGCTTGGCATCTGTAGTCGGTAAGAAATTTTGCTCTAGGAGAGACAGCTGTAACAAGAGGAAATACATTGCATTAGGGCACTGTGTGACATCGAACGCAAGTGGATCTATTGTTTTCTGGGCCTGCAGGCATTTCTAATGTTGTTCAATAAAGGGAAATATTACTGAATAAATGTGGAGCTTCAAGGAGTGAAATATGCAGCTTACATACATACATTTACGGTTTTAGCAGCCAAACGGTTTGTAATATTTTTAGCTGTTCCTGTGATTTATAGAGCCAGGAAGAGCCCTCTGCTACTTCCTGGTTCACCCTTATGGCTCCCTGACTTAAAGTGTCACTAAAAGGTTCATGTAAATATAACACACAAGTGGATAAATAGGTAGATAGTAAATAATCATTTAAATGTACTTTATATTTATTCTTGTAGGGCCATAAACGGGGCCAGTTTAGTTCTACAGCTTTCGGATAGTACTGCTCGGCCTACATGTCCCATGATTCACATAGAGCAACCTTGGCACTGGTGAAGGAGGAAGGGAGGGAGCACCTACACCATTGCCTATGATGATCTTCTCTCGACAGGAAGGCAAAGAGTGGGTAGTCTGGAGGGAGGAGAAAATGGACGGGACCATGCAGGAGAGCAGTTGATCCTTTCCTGGTCCCATTGTCACTCATGAATGCCATAGGTCAGGGTTAGGCAATTGGCTCTCCAGCTGTGATACAGTTACCAATCCGATGATACATTGCAAGAGTGACAGCCACAGGCATAACTCCAACAGGCAGATCTATGATGGGATTTGGAATTTTAGCACAGCTGCAGGGTCAGAGTTTGCCTACCCCTCGACCGATAGGACATCAACCATTTCTGCATCCAGTGAGTGTCATTCCCTTCAGTTACATAGTATCAGAACACTTGTCACATTTTAAGTCTATTTCACCAGTTATTATGTAGCTACGAATTGTTATTTGTTCCATCTCCATCATCATTAATTGTTAGGTTGTAGTGGTCCTCTCTTTGCATTTTTTCTGTCGTACTATACAGGACACATCTGCCTGTTCCAGGAGCTCACACACCCACTGATACTCCCATTTTCCACCTTACACTTTATTATTCCTGGCTAGTACATACACTATATTGCCGAAAGTATTGGGACGCCTGCCTTTCCACGCACATGAACTTTATTGGCATCCCAGTCTTAGTCCGTAGGGTTCAATATTGAGTTGGCCCGCCCTTTTCCGCTATAACAGCTTCAACTCTTCTGGGAAGGCATCCACAAAGTTTAGGAGTGTGTCTATGAGAATGTTTGACTCACCTTCCAGAAGCGCATTTGTGAGGTCAGGTGCTGATGTTGGATGAGAAGGCCAGGACGCACTGCGACTTCTGCGAGTTGCTGTTGTTCCCAGTTGCTTCCACTTTGTTACAAAACCACTAACAGGTGACCGCGGAATATTTAGTAGCAAGGTAGATTTAACGGATGGACTTACTGCACAGGTGGCAACCTATCACGGTACAACGCTTGGATTCATTGAGCTCCTGAGAGCGACCCATTCTTTCATAAATGTTTGTAGAAGCGTCTGCATGCCGAGGTGCTTGATTATATACACCTGTGGCCATGGAGGTGATTGGAACATCTGAATCCAATGATTTAGAGGGGTGTCCCAATAGTTTTGGCAATATAGTGCATCTCCATTCTTCTTTCCGTTTCTTAAGGTGCCCATACACTGCACGATTCTCGTACGAGAGTCGGGGGAAATCCCGCGATCGTACGATAATCGTCCAGTGTATGGACGGCGTGAGATCGTTTCTACTGTACGGTCGCACGTCTTCCGTCGAACAAGCAGGCTGGAAAACCCGCCGGGAATCGTACCATTCTCGGCGAGTTAGTGGCCTGACTGTTCGACAACTGCCGAACGGGCCGGTGTGCGCACGCGCAGACTGCCCGTTTGCAGTCATCGGAAGGCCGCCCCTCATTGCAGTCATCGCAAGCCCGCCCCTCAGGGGGGCGGCTTGCGATGATCGCAAGTACGATCTGCCTGTCCAAAATGGTCAGATCATACTTTTTTTTAAGTACTTTACAAAGTACTTTTTTTTAAGTACTTTACAAAGTACTTTACAAAAGTCTTGCGAGGGTTGTAAAGTATATGGGCACCTTTACCCTGCTGTAGGTGAGGATGTGTGGGCTGGATGGAGATTTTAATCAACGCGAAGTTTAGACTGCTTGTACATGTGCTGGATGCGACAGGCCTACTACTGTAGTCCACCTTGGAAACACATGCAGGAAGGTGGCTACGTTCCCACATATAGGAGCACGTAGCCACCCTCAGGACAGAAATTTCAGCAGCACAATTTAAAAAAAAAAAAAAATTTAACACACACACGCTGCAGGAGACTGACTGGAGGCTGACAGCCAGCCGGCTCGAAGGATAACTTTCTTATTTTTGAGCCTAGACCAAAATGAGCACTTAACCCTTGTAGTGTTTGTGTGGTAGCCCCACTGCAAGGGTTAAGATTTTATTTGCCGGGGTTCTTCTTTAATGTCCCCGTCCATTCTGTACTCTACAGAGTTACAGGTACCACTGTACTCTGACACCTCTGGCTGTGAGGTCTGGTCCCCCCCGCTGCAGACTGTGGTTTTACCCACCGAACACTATGTCAGTTCTCTGTCCTGTAGCGACGTAGCTGCCGGCAGAAGAAACCACAGCGCACAGCAGGGAACAGACTATCCACAATATCATAACTGGTAAGTGCCAGATACTAATCGGCAACCGTATATCTGTAAGAGGCAGAAGGATGGAACAGGTAAGTATTCATCATCTTTATGTACAGGGGTGTGCCGCTTCAAGTGTTTATTCCAGCAAAGGGACAGCAAACCTGTTGCCTAGCCCTGTGTGGGCACAGAACAGGTTTACTTTAAATATCCAAAATTATATAGAAAAAAAATTAAGTGAAATCTAATTGTGGAAACAACTTGTGGGACCC